AGGAGAGATGTAGGGGCAGTGCTGTGAGCTGAGCAACCTCCATGCATCTCTCCAAGGACCTCAAGGGTACCTAATCCACTGTGCAGGGTCCATCTCTATCCTGCAGGTGATGGCACGAGATATTCAGCTATGGTGTGAAGGTAAGCACTGCTGGAGAAGGTGATATGGGTAGATGCTATCTTCTAGAGGACTACCCCAGGACTACCCCACACTCCTGGGTGCCCACTGCATTTCAACCTGCTTCTGACCTTGCCACAGCAGGACGGTCTGAAAATGGAGGTGATGCAAGAAAACCCGCAGCACTCTTCAAGTGAGGAGCAACAGAATCCTTGAAAGACCTAACTGATGCACCCATTTTTCCTGGGAATTTTGAAACACTGGACAAGCAGACAACTCTTCAAACTCTAAAATAAAAGCTCATCAATACAGCAGTGTGGAGTTCCTGTTGTTTCAGTATCTGTCATAGTAAGCAAAGGGGTAAGTAACAGACGTGCTTTAAATTATTGATTGCTATTAACAAGCTGTTTGTTACTCTTCTCTTTTTATTTAAAGTTTTCAGATTTCTGCATGAAACCCTGCTTTTCAAAATTCTGTGTTTTATAGACGATCATATGATTTAAAACAGTAGTTAAAAATCCCAAAACAAATAAACAAAAAGTCCTGTGTTTTGAGTATAATAATAGGGAGAAAACACAGTATTACCTGAAATATTTTTTATTTTTTAAATCCAGATGCTCTAACACATAATTGTTTATAGGGAGTTTGTTTTCCTACACTTGGGGAAAAACAAAAAAAAAAGTAAAAATGTAATGCAGTCCAAAACATGAATTGCAAAAGAAAGCGAATTCCCTTCTGGATACTTTCTGAACACTGAGGGAGAGATCAGAACTTTATTTTCTTTTAATGCAGAGACAATTCACAAGCAACTGTGTCAGAATGAACTTAGATAAGAAGACAGTGGCTATAAGCCTTATTTTAGTTACATGTGCTGTGTTGTCTCCCTCCCAGTAGCCTAAACACTTGCCTGAAGAACCACTGTTTCACCTCACAAGGACAACTCAGTCTTCCCTCTTCTTTCATAAAAAGCAATTTCAGTAATAAACCTCTGACTGACAGGGTGACATCAGTGAATCACCAGGACATTTTCATGAGAAAGAGGGATGGCTCCAGACCAATGTAAGACAGCTTTGTTGTCAAGACAGCTGAGATGTCTGATAACTTTTCCCCTTTACACACTGGACTGTAGTTTAAAAGGAGTGCCTATTACACCTATAAAACACCGTGTTCAGCCACAGTGACAATTGTGCATGCAAAACAGCACACCCAGCTCAGCTCCCAGAGCACAAGATAAAATTGCCTTCAGTGTCACAGGGCCAAAGCCTGTATCCTCCCTTGCACCAGGAAGTGGGGTATGAGACTAAGAGATGACCTAACTTTTTTCCACAACAGACAGCCAATCTTGGCAGTTGCTGGCCAAATGCCAGTGGGTGCACAAATGCTCCACCAGTGCTTAGAGCATGATGCAAATTGCTCACACCAGCAGGGGCAAGCAACAGGCAGAAAAGGAGAGATGAGCCTTGCAATTACTATAAACTTTGAAGCACTTAAATGCCTACTGCAAAAAAAAATATAAAAATATCAGGAGCCCCCAAAACATTATCTTTGCTCTTGGTTCCCTGAGTCAGCTAAGAGCTGCAACAAGAAGCTCTGTAAGCCCTGGGGGCATTGTGATTAAGCCCTCCCTTTGGGATTTTGTTTGCTTGTTTTGTGGAGGTTTTTGTTTGGATTTAAGTAAATTAAAATTTTAGAACAGAATACACACAACTTCACTTAAGACAGGTTTGCTCTAATTAGTTACTTTTCCATTCTGTACTTTCCAAGCACAATTAATTGGCAGAAAGGCATCTTACAGCACAAAGTTATTTATATACTCAGCTAATGATAATGTTCAGGAGCACAAAGCATTAATGTTTCACTAACTGAACTGCACACTTCTATCAGGGTTTAAGTGCACCTACCACAAAACAGCTCAACAACACACTTGACCTCTTCCAGACCCAAATTTGTCTAGATACAATGAAGTGAACGTTCTCTGCTCAGAAACAAAATGTTTCACTGCACAATCCTGAAATAGCATTACTGGTTTTTTAAACTGCTTCTAGTCTAAACATCCCAGCACTCTGAGACCATAAATTATTTCTTATTTATTCAGATCTTGTTAGAAATAAGCCAAACAAGAAATGAACACCAGCTATTTAATTTGCACTGAACTATTTTGGCTAAACTATGAACAAGCACAGCTTGATTATACAACTCAAGTTGCTCCCAAACACCTTCTCTCCACAGACAGCACCCTGAGTAAGTTACTGAAGTGCACTCACCAAAAGGTAATTCGAATCTTGTGTCCAGTAAAATTTTATGAGGGGTCGGGTTTTTGGTTCCACAGATTTCATCATGTTTCATTACAACTTCTGCCTCCAGCGTAGACCACTCCCCAGGACCTTCCTGTGAATCACAAGCCATAGGTGAAGCTTCAAATTTGACAGGTCCATATGCAACGAGTCTCACACATTTGCTAAGACAAAATACTCTAGGAAGAGCCTTACCATATTACTGAGTTCTTGTACCTTATTTTAGCATCAAATTACATCTATTCAGCACAAGCTTGCAACTTTTCTTCCAAATCTCAAAGGCCTTCACCAAGACAAGCAGCAAACAACTCCTAGCAGAACTGCTGCCTTCTCAGTGGAACTGCAAAGGCAAGTCCTCAAAGGCAGACACCAAGGAGTCTGGACAGCCTGAGGAACTGAGCACCAGCCAGGCCTTATGGCCACACTGCTGGATACGCTCACTCTTTTATTGAAAACACAAGGTCTCTCTTCCCTGCTCAAATTCAGTATTTTTTTTAATATCGGGCCTGAAATTTTAGATGAATAAGCAAACATGTCCTGATCAGCTGCAACAACCACCACAACCAGTAGTGAGTGCAGTAGCAGACATTGGCACATTCCATTTCCTACCTTTTCCCATTCATATCACCAATATTACCACCACCCTGCAACACTGCAACAAGAAACTTCAACAAGATGTTGCAGACATGCTGTGGGCCTGCCTTTAAGGTAACATCGTCTGATATCAGGGCACCCTCTGTCTTTAGCAGGAACTTACAGAAATTTGAGCATCAGACTAAGGAGTCAGTCCTTAAGACTCCAGACACTTGTCAACTATGCAGTTTCCTTAACAGATTAAGCCCTGCTTTCTGTGTCCATGTGAGTGAAATGAGATCAGATATACCTACTTATGGTCAGTTTTGGAACCACTGTTGGCAGCATCCTTCAGGATAAAAACACAACAACAAACAAACAAACAAAAAACCCCAAACAAAAACAACAAACAAAACTAAAACTCCAAGGTGATGCTGACAGCCCCCTTCCCACACCCAGCCTGCTTGGCTTTGCAAGTGGAAGCTTTGCTGAGGAGCACAGTCCCAGGCACCACCAGGCTACATTTGTAACACATTAACTATCAACATGGGAGCTGTCAAAATAAAGCTTCTGTGTCAGCTTAACCTCATCAGATTGGTGAATGGCCTTCAGAGCAATCCACACGGTCCCAACCAGGGTGTCCCAGATCAGTCCTTTGTTCCATACTTCAACAATTAGGCCCAGGTCCAGCCGACTGATCTCACTGCAGGAAAAGAAAAGGCAGCAGAGGTGAGGACAAATCAGAACACAATCTAATTCTGCTTCAGGCTCTGTGTCACTACCACAATTAAACCAGTGCACTTTCCAAGCAGCTGGGTCAAGCTACAGAAAGCTTCTGGAAGTGTGTGGCTGAGGTGGTTCACACTCACACAGGGAACACACAGGGAACTAGTCACCGTTGAACAGTAACTACACAAAGATCACAAAATAAAACCCTGAACTACCTCATGCATAGACTGACAACTGGGAACACACCTTAGCCATGTACAAGGTGGCATATCTTAATCCAAAACCTAGAGGTGAGCTGCTCTTTGCCATCATTTCTAACTCAGCAGGTACATCCCTCCTTTGGCAACACAGCAACACAAGTGTACATTGGCAGGTCCAAACTTGCCCATACTCTGTGAGTGAAGCAGCCACACAACAGCAGTAACAGTCCCAAACCCAGCACAGCTGCACCAGCAGCACTACCTGCTGCTCAGGGCTGTGCTGCACTACTTCAGCTCCAGCACCAGCTTCTTCCCCCGCGTGACACTGCAAGGCTTTGAACCGTGCAAATCTCTGGCAACAAACAGCCAAACACAACCACCAAGTGCCAAGTGCTTGGAAATACTTATCTGAAGGCTTTCATTAACATCTCTGCTCTCAGGAAGGAACAGATGCATCTCAAATTCACCTCTACCCAACACTTCATAGCATTGACTCTCCCTCTTCCATGCTGCTTGTAACTTAAGAACAGGATGATACATTTTACCAGCCTGAATGCTGGTAAAATCCATCAAGTAAAGAACCCTGAGCTGTTGATAGGCAACACTTGTGAAAAAAGGCTACTGTCCCTACTTCCTTGAGCTCAGGATTTACCCCTAGTCCAACATCAAATCCCCAAATATAGCTAATCTTGGACACGTATTGCCACTGCCCACTGCCCCTCTGTTCGGATAAATTCACATTAAGTTTATCAAAGGAATTTCAAAGCACGTTAGTCCCCAATTTTTACAGACTGTCATCATGGCCCAAAAAAATTAATAAAAAAATAATTAAAAGAAAAATTCAGAACTGCTGCAAATCCCAGCATCTATTTGAGCTTTCTTACAGAGACGTTTTACAACTTTGGAAGAGGATATTTTACCTACAAGGTTCAAGACAAACCTTACAGCTACAGCAACGCATATTAAAGTGCATCTGTTCCTATGGAAGGACACAGGAATTGAGGCCAAGAGTGTCCAGTACTTGGGTGCCTCTGTTTACATAGTTCAAAATCAAACTGTTATGCAGGCTTATTCAGAGTTTACTGCTAGCACCCTGAAATTGAGCCTCCAGCTCCCCCTCTTTGGATATGGCTACTTAATATGGGCAAGCTAACAACTAGCCACCTGCACTGCTCTGCCCTCTCACTGATTGACTCTTGGAAGATGATATTCCTCTGATTGCACAAATGTGCAATAACAGCAGAAACAACTGATTTTCTGCTGGCTAGACAAGTGTGAGGCCAGAAAGGGAAGGAAGAAATCCTCTATTTTTATTTCAACATACATTGACAGACCAAGACAGTGATCGTAAGACACCCAGCAGCCTTCTATGCAGAATTCCACAGGACAGGTCACCGGATAACAAAAAAATAAGGTTTTCAGTACAGTGGCTTTGATTGCCTTTGTGTTTCCCTTTCTCCACCTTCTGGTCAGATGCAGAATAGCTTCAAAGAACAAAAGAGCTGAGGTTGGATTTCCATGTCCCTCCTCCCTTTCCACACGCACACAGAATTTAAATGAAAGACATTTTTAACAACTTCAACGCCAATTCATCCATCACATTCTAAATAGCAGTTAGCACTTCCACTTGAGGGGTGCTTTCTGCAAATACACAGTCCTTTTAAAGCTGCTTCAAAATTAGATGTTGCCAGAGAAGACATTAAAGTGCTTTTCTGGCCTGGTAAATAAGCAAATTTCAAACATCCCTAGAGCCCCAAATTTTAAAGTTTTATGTCTCACAAGGAGTTTGGAAGCAAAAACAACAAACACAGATAGAAAGCATTTTCTTGGTTGCAGTCTATTCTTCTACTATGCCCCATAAAAAAAAAGTAAAAACAAACATAGATAATAAAAGCATCTTTCCCTCAGGGAAAAACTATGGTGTTCTAAAGCCTTTTCCAACTTCAGAACGCGAAGAGACATCCAGTGAATAGCAGTCATGGTATCTTAGTGTTATATCTCCTGGGACAAGTTAATGTACACAGGATCATGCAAAACATGTTGCCAGCCACATGTAATATTTTTGTTATAAAGAAAGCTCACAACAACTATGCTCTTGCTTTGCTAAAGCAGGAAAGACAAAGGCAAAGTAGTTGAGCTAATATTCTGCTTTGATATCCCCTAGCAACTAATTACAGAGCAACACAATGACCTTACAGCATACTAGCTAAGCTCCCAGCTGATACTGGACAGCAGTTCCAGGAGCTGTTTGAGAGGAAGGAGGAGGAGCAACCGTGAGAGCCAACACAAACAAGGGCCATTGTCAAAACACTGGTGAGCAGCCTCCTCTGTAGCTGGCCATGCTTAAAGTTAGTTCCTGCTCACAAGTGGAACACAAATCACAGGAAGAATGAGTTAGTAGTTTGGATATGGGCATGTGATTTGGCAGACAGGCACAATTCCCTGTCCCAACCTTACCCCAGACCTGCACACAGTTTATGTCAGTGACAACCACAGCCTCTATCTGACCAGGAACTGCACAGCTCGGAAGATGGTGGTGTTCAGGAGGACACATGTTTCACAAGATGCCAAAGATTAGGCTCAGACTCTCCAAGCAGACGCACACACCTCATGTGCAGCTCCCAGAACAGTACCACAGAACAAGGGAGACAGCGGCATAGTTAGGATGGCAACACTGCTGGCCCAGGTGAACTTCTCAGCCAGGGGCAGAACTTTTGGCAGAACACCAACTGCTAAGGGACAGTAAAAATACTTACAAAAATCCCAGGTGGATGTCGTGCTATGGATGCTATGAATACACCTCAGGCCCAGTGAAAAACAGCAGCACTAGCTTTGATTCCACAAAATAAGCACAGCATCATTCCCCCTGCAATAGCAGTGTCCAGGCCAAGTTCAGTGAAAAGAATTTGGAGACCAGGATTTAGTAAATTTAGTTCACTTTATCTTACAAAACTAAAGGAAACAGAAGCACATGCAATATACGAAACAATTCATATCAATTCAAGTTATTTATACACCTGCAAGAAAACCACTATTCTAAGAGACACTGAGAAACCCTGGATATCTGTCAGAACTATGAGGACCAGAGCAAATCTGAGGTGCCAACTGCACCAGAAAACCTGGGAGAGCTGAAGCTGATTCTGCTGCTCATGGTAGGGACTGGCAGACCCTCAAGCTGCCACTGGGTAGCTGGAAAATTAATTCATGGGAACTGGACCAATGGCAGAAAACATCAACACACAAGAGCAGCTCCACACTGAGATAACCAGGATCACCCTGTCGAGGCTCTGAGTGCACTAACAACAGCCTTTAAAATTGCCCTGACCTCCCTCCCCAGTAGCTGCCACCCATATCCCTCTTCTTATGGCCCAAGAGCTCCATCTAAGCTCAGCTAGAGGCTCTCAATCCTTGCCTAAGCTACTTTGTAGGTGTTTGTGGTGGGCTGATCCTACCGGGACACTAGGTGCCCACCAAAAGCCACTCCTATCACTCCTCCTAGGCTGAACAGGGTAGAGGAAATGTAACAAAAGGCACATGGGTCCAAGTAAGGACAGAGAAAGATCATTCACCAACTACAGGCATAGGCAAAACAGACTCAACTTGGGGAATCAGTTTAGTTTTATTACAAATCAAAATCAGAGTAGGATAATGATAAGTAAAAACAATCCTCCCCCAGCTCAACTTCA